GAATTTACATTTACATAGGAAAATTACAGAATTGAAAAATTCGTCGAATACAAAACACTCCAAGATCCTATAACGATCATGCATTTATAAAGGTGTAAAGATACAATTGTCCAATCATAACAATCAAAATGCATGTCTCAGGACCAATCACGCGTCGTACCGTGGCCAGGTGGCGGCTGCGAGTGTTTGACTGAGGCCATTGGGAAGCCTGACCAAGTAGCTGCTGTTGCTGTGCAGCAGCAGTTCACGGAGTATAGCCTCGCGCTCGCTGTTCGTCAGGTTGCGCTTTTTGACGGTCATTCCTGAATGTTTGTCATTCTGAGTGTTTGTTTATATAAAATATTTTATGTAGTTAGGTGATTCATCACAATCATTAAACGATGATTGGATAAAATTAGGTACTCAGGTAAATAATACCCTTAGTATTTAATATTTCAATTCTTTGACAACTCATGTAATCTCATAATTACAATGACTTCTAATTAGATACCTTGTACACTTTATAAAGATTTCTATTAAGAGGTTCTGAGAATTTCGATGGTCAAGTCTGTCATACATTATTCAAGTCAAACACCTGGGCGGAATTTACATTTACATAGGAAAATTACAGAATTGAAAAATTCGTCGAATACAAAACACTCCAAGATCCTATAACGATCATGCATTTATAAAGGTGTAAAGATACAATTGTCCAATCATAACAATCAAAATGCATGTCTCAGGACCAATCACGCGTCGTACCGTGGCCAGGTGGCGGCTGCGAGTGTTTGACTGAGGCCATTGGGAAGCCTGACCAAGTAGCTGCTGTTGCTGTGCAGCAGCAGTTCACGGAGTATAGCCTCGCGCTCGCTGTTCGTCAGGTTGCGCTTTTTGACGGTCATTCCTGAATGTTTGTCATTCTGAGTGTTTGTTTATATAAAATATTTTATGTAGTAAGGTGATTCATCACAATCATTAAACGATGATTGGATAAAATTAGGTACTCAGGTAAATAATACCCTTAGTATTTAATATTTCAATTCTTTGACAACTCATGTAATCTCATAATTACAATGACTTCTAATTAGATACCTTGTACACTTTATAAAGATTTCTATTAAGAGGTTCTGAGAATTTCGATGGTCAAGTCTGTCATACATTATTCAAGTCAAACACCTGGGCGGAATTTACATTTACATAGGAAAATTACAGAATTGAAAAATTCGTCGAGCAAAATGGACAAGCGATACAACGATGGGTCCTGCATAAACTAATAAAGCTCCTCACGACCTTGAGAATGCATGTTTTTGCAGCCTCATCACACACACGGGCGACGAGTTACGCGACTTCAAAAGTACGACAAGCTGTGCGGAAATTGCATGAAACACCTTACAGTTAGTATTAATACCGGTACATGCACATTTGTGTAACGTTATGTTATCGTAACCCTAGCCTAATTCGCCCCTGAATCGCAGTACCACTGTATTTATTTATGCACGGAACAATAATGTATCCTATACGCAGGTACACATGTACTACGCAGTATACATTTGCATTCAGCGAAGTAACAGGGGATGTACTGTACAGTACTGTAGCCTATCGGACGTTGCAAACCGGGAGGTTGAGGGTTCGAGTCCCAAGTATTACTTTTTTTTCCACATTGACCAAGCCTTATAGTCGCAAGCGACGACAGAGCATCCGCCCACAACATTGCGCGCACCGCAGCGTAGCGGAGGTCGTGTGTATAATTTTGTTCAACGATGAAGTACTGTAGTACTTTTACCAAGAGTTTGTATGGGCATTAAGTCAATTACCTTAAAACGTCATTCCGATCTGTGATTTGGGTCGGAATTAAGACTGCTTGTTATCGTATCCGTAGTAGCTAACCGGATTAATGTATGGAATTCGGTCTGGAATTTTGCAAACCAAAATTTCGGTATTCCAGTCTGTACCGTATCCATACAGCGATTCTTGTCAAAAATATGCGGAATGGAAGCGGTCATATTCTGTCCCAAAACGCGATTTTGGGGACAACTTCGGAATGATGAGACTATAGGTATGTGCAACGTGTAGGTAGGTAGGTATATGTGCCACCAGTTAGTCCTCGTTTTACGAGGAGTTTCACTCTGGTATCCTGGATCACCACTAAACAGTTCACTTGAAGCTATGTAGGTTAGTCTACCTAGCACTGTAGCCAAGTTGGCCCCCATTATATCATTGTACAACACTACACTATGAACAAATTGATGAGCTATCGCTTAGCTAAAGCTACACCTTTACTCTTCGTCATCTACCCAGCCATACAATGTACTATATGTGTGCAATCTCTCTTATTACTTCAACTTGTCCAAATCCACATGCGCATGTTGGGCCAGTTGGGCGAACGCGCCGCATTTGTTGGCCAGGAGTGTGGACGGCGCGTCGTACTCGACGGCCACGCCACCGTCCAAGACGAGAATGCGGTCCGAGTCGAGGATCGTGTCAAGGCGGTGCGCGATGATAAGTCTCGTGACGTTCTCAAAGCAGTCACGCATCGTGGCCTGGATGAGCCGGTCGGACTCTGGGTCGATGTTGGCCGTGGCTTCGTCCAGCACCACCACCTTGGACCGCCGCAGCAACGCCCGGGCAATACACACCAACTGCCGCTGCCCTACCGACAGATTCGACCCGCGCTCGCAAATGGCAAACTCCAAGCTTGGAATGACTCCACTCAGGTGCACCTGTTTGACGGCTGTCCACAGCTCCGCGTCCGTCGCACACTTGGTCGGGTCCAAGTTGAGCCGAATGGACCCGCTGAACAGCACCGGGTCTTGCGGAATGATGGTCAGGCCTCGGCGGAGGCTGGTCACGCTCACGCTGGCAATGTCCACCTACACTCGTGAATATCCATTTTGAACATTAAGTCTCAATACCCCATCAATCGCGATGCGACCAGACGACGCTGGCACCATGCGAAACAAAGCAGCCATTAACGAACTCTTGCCCGACCCCGTCCGGCCACAAATGCCCACTTGGTGGCCTGGTTCAACGTTGAACGAAATATTGGTCAACACCAAATCCAAATGGTCTCGGTATCGCATCGAATACGACTCGAATGCAATCGCTCCTGTAGCAACCCCAACATCAATATACAAAACCCCAACAACTTGCTCGCAACCGAGCGTACCTTGCGACGGCCAATCATGTACGTCCGTCCCTTCGTCTGCATGTTCGCTCTCCAACTGGTTGTAGTGGTTCAATCTTTCCACGGACGTCATCGAGTTGTCTAACCACGCAGTGAAGATGGCCACTCGGGACAGCAGCACCGACAGCTGCGTCGAGTACGTCAGCGATAGCCCCGCGGCCGCCAGTCCCACGGTCGACTTGGTGAGGACGGTGACGACTGCACATGTGCCGACGAAGAGCGACCCGAGAAAGTCGAGGCGCATCTGGAACCACCGCGCGCCCACGAAGAAGGTGAAGTAGAACCGCATGTTGAAGTCGATGGTCGTTCTCTGTTTTTGGGCAAAGCTGGCCGACTTTTCAAAGGCGCGGATGGTGCTCAGACCCTGGTAGGTCTCGCTGACAAGGGAAATCAGCGGCGATTTCGTCACGCCGTCCAACCTCTTTATCTCGTTGGCCGCTTTGTTGTACCCGCTTTGAGCGACAAAGTACACGTACCCCACGGGCACGTACATGACGATCACCCACGGGGTCGTCGCAGCACAAACGACCAGCACGGCGAGGATTTCGAACCCAAATTCCAACACGCACAAGCCAAAATGCAGCAAATTCGAGTCGATTTGGTCCAAATCGGAAGAAAATCGATTGAGAATGCGACCCACGGGGGTGACGTCGAAGAAGGTAGGCACGGGGGCGCTAAGGACGTTGTGCAGGACCTTGGAGTGGAAGTTCTTGGAGCATAGCATGGCGGTGACGAGCACAAAGATGGAACGGCCGTACACCAAGATCACGGACGCACCAGCGAGTGCTACGTAGCCCCACCCATACCACAAACTCAACGGGCCTTTCTGAGCCCACACACTCATAAACCAATCGGTCAACGATAACGTCACTTGCGAAATCGTAAACAACACCGCCACGACAATTCCCACCGAGTACCTAAAACAAGCAAGTGAAAAAAATGATATTTTCAAGAGAAACGTACCCATTGTAGCCACTGGCCCCAAGGTACGACTTGTACGTTTGCAAAGTAACTTTGCCCTTGATATTGTCTTCCTTGACTATCAGACTATCCTTCATTACAGTTGGTTCTGCAGCAACTCCTTCAGCCAGTTCCTCCTTGTCATTATCTTGGGACTTCGTGGCCACCAAGTCGGATTGCGTAAAGTTCATCAAGTGTGGGAACTCGGTCTTGAGTTGTTTATACGTACCGTCGCCCACAATTGCCCCGTCCGACATGAGAATGATCTACTCTCGACGATTATATAAATCGATCTACATAGGAAGAACGATCGTACCCGATGGGCGTGGGGGAGCAAGTGATAGTGGCTCGTGAGCACGAGCAGCGCCGTCTTTCCGCGCAACAGGCCCTGCATGCAGTCGGAGAAAACGGCGTTGGCCACGTGCACGTCAAGCGCACTGAGCGGATCGTCCAGCAAAAACACGTCGGCGTCCGTGTGGTACATGGCTCTGGCCAGACTGATGCGCGCCTTCTGGCCTCCGCTGAGGTTGATGCCTCGCTCGCCAATTTCGGTCGCGTCTCCTGTCACGTCACATATCAGTGGGATTCTCTTGGCGGTAGCGTACCTTTAGGGAGCATGGCCAGATCCGGGCCCAGCTGGCACGCGCTTACCACTCGGTCGTACAAGTCCTGGTCAAACAATGGTGACAGAAACACGATGTTGTCCTTGATCGTGGCATGTTGAATCCACGACTCCTGGCTCACGTACGAGAACCGAGCGAAGACCCGTCGACTGCCGCTCGTAACGTGAACGTCGCCCAGGATGGCGCTGACCAGACTCGACTTGCCGCTGCCCACGGCCCCCACGACTATCGTCAACGTACCAGGTTCCAACTGCAGCGAAATGTCCTTTAATGTTGGGGCCGTAGCGTCATTCGTCCAGCTAAAGTCGGCATGGGACAGCTCTACGTTGGCTTCTGGTGTCGTTAGGGTGGCGACGTCTGGTGCCAACTCCTCGGCGTTGAAAAAGTCTGAGAGACGGCGACAAGAGGCTAGTGCTTCGGTGAACCCTATCACAGACGTGGAAAAGACTCCGCACGGCTGGCGCGTGATATTCATGTAGGCTAAAGCCGTGAACGCCACGGGCATGGTTAAGGGGTGCCCCTGGCCCACGAACACCATGAGGCAACAGGCAAGAGACACCACGGGCGCCACCATCAGCAGCACGTTGTTAATAATGCGGAGGTTGTGGTACTTGGTCAGGCATGAGATCTCTCGTACGCGGATGTCGTTCAGTTGATCTTGGATCGACCCTTCCCACGCGTACAGCTTGACCACTCGGATGCCTTGGAGCACTTCGTTGGTGAGCTTTACGCGCTGGGCCTGTACAGCAAGAATATCCCGACGGAGGTGGCCCACGAGTTGTCCAGATGCAATGCCAAAGTAAATGAACCCGGCCATAGCAAGTCCACCGATGAACGCTGCCAACGGCCCCAGTTCAAATGACAGCATGATGAAGATCACCAGCAGCATCACAGGACTAGGCATTCCATTGAAGCCAAGGATATATATATGGAGAAAATGTATATACCTGATAAAGGTCCAATGACCCAAGCTAAACCCCATCGTAATGCGCTCCAGATCCACCGACGTCATGGTGACAACTTCTCCCGACGAAAATTTGGCCTTGGCTAGCCCGGACAGAGACAATGTCTTGACGTACACCATGTTAGCCACGGCAGACTTCAGGTTAAGTCCAATATGGGCGGCGTAATAGCCAGCGAAATCCATGATGCAAGCCGATGTCATAGACACCACGAAGAGGACAATCACCAACGCGTAGCCGTTGGTGAGGCCTAGTGCAGTCGCTGTCACGTCTTCTTGTTCAAGGTACTGCATCATGGACTTGACGGCGATAGGCTGGAGCAGACTCAGCACCGCATAAAGCGAAAACAGCAAGAATGACACTACGATGCGGTATCGGAAAGCCTGCCACAGCACCACCACGAGCCTGGGTTTGAGTACAGGGTCCCACTTTGCCGTCACTAGAGGATAAACGGAGTCCACCGTGTCAGCTTTGGCCAATGGCCACACGTCGCGCTCGGTGAGCGGCGCCTGAGCACCCTTTCGAATAAGCGCGTCCAACCACCAAATCGTGATGTAGCTCAGCCAGTTGACGGACTCCAATGGATGCGGCCTTTGGCTCCATGGCACGTCGTCCTCCTGGAGGTCTAGCGATGCTCGCGGTGTCTTGAGGGATTGAAAGCCGGTGTCCATCAAGCAAATTGGCGAATGGGCGACCCCAACGTGTACGACAGGCTTGTCACATATGGTGGGTCCCATCACGATGAGCATATGCTACAGTGTACATACTCCATATATTGTGCCCAATCAGATTCAGCTATTATAAATTACGGTAGTGGATTTGATACGTATGCCAGAGAAGTCGAATTTCGAAGTACATAAGCCTAGTACTAGTGGAGTTTAAAATGTAAGTTTGATTCAAAGTGTATAATTGTGATTGGACTCCTCGGAATGGAACCACATTAATCACACCTCGGAACAATGACTGAGACGCCAACCGGTTTCCTTAAGTCCGCGAAGGTGCATACAGGTTGGCTCAAGTTCGTCGCATGTATAACGTAAACGGCCACTTTATGGATACTTGGACGGTTTATGGATACGTCGGATAAGCCAATAGAATCTCCAGGATTTTGAGCGGCAAAACCTCCACAAAATAATACAGCTTATCACCCAAGCGCGCGACGGGAGCGACATCGACAGACTCTTCAGATTACGAGTCTCCACAATCAGACGAATACGACATAGAGGACAGTGTTGTTGTCTAGATGAAGCAATGCATTCATACCTCTTGTGTACTTCACTTGATGTGGCTAGATTTGCCGTTGTGGTCATCTTGGGTCTTTTGGTAAAATGTGGTATGTGCGGCCGACTCTTTGAATCAATAACCTGCCTCAAATACATATTTACCCGTTTAATTTTAATACCCTACCCTAGCAAAAACTATGCAAGAGAGCATACATATTTTAAGTATAAAAGAGTATCCATAAACCGACAACTCAAATCAAGTGTAATTGCCTTGAAAATTGGTTGTTTTGCACACAACAATCCCCTCAAGACCCGATGGAGTGAGTCATACTGGATTGTTCTGCGTTTCATCTTGGTGTTGCAAGAATCCAAATCAAAATATGACCAGTTTTCAGGAAGTTATGCCAATTCTCCAGCAACGCCTCATTAAAAGTATCCATAAAGTGGCCGTTTACGTTACGTATAGATATAGCGCCAGGCGGATAAGGTAAGGTTTTTAATACTTCGCAAGTTAACGCTAATTGCTAGCTACAGTAACCAAGCTCAAGCAAGGCGAACTGACACTGTGATTGCGTTCAATTTCTATTTGACCTTCCACCATGGGAAGTGTAGAAGCCAATAAGTATCTGAACCCCAATATGTACTGTACTCCGTAGTTAAAATCATTTGACCATCTCTAGGCGCCTATTAACGGATACATGGGTGATTGTTCTCACAGGTATACTTACTGTATTGTGAATTTCACAGCAAATTTCACCGAAATTCACAATACAGTAAGTGAGGTGAATAGCAATAAGTCGACCTCACGATTTGATTCGCCAAAAATGACTTATTTCAGCCAATTAAACAGTATTTCCCTTAGTCTGGGATACTGTATCAACTACAGGAACAAGTCACTGAAAGTCGCGGCGACATGGCAGCATGAGCGCCAACACAGTTTACCATTGCCTATTCGTCTAGGGTTCTCGTGCAAACATGTACTACGCTCGTGTTTTTATGATAACACGTTACTGAAGTCTACTGGTACTAACTACTACCGGTATACAGTACACTGGTACTTCGAAGTATGAGCTTAAGCAAGTCCGAGCACGACGTGGCGATGAGCAGACGGGAGGCAACAGCAATCAAGTACGGTTGAACTCGGGGTACTTGTGCGCACATGATTGCTCTCGATTGGAGTGCGGTGTGGCGTAGTTTCCTTGAACGCACCAGTTTCGGTGATGGTGGTGTGCTTCGACTGGTAAGTTTCGAATTGCACCGTTCTCGCGCTCAACAGAACCTCTATATATCTATAAATTATACTATTACAGGGGTTTTGATCGGTTCTGAAACCGCCCCACTGTTCGATTCACACTGTCAACCCACAATATATAATTTTCGAACACGAACCTCTGTTTCCTATGCGAACTTACCCACAAAGACTGCGCACAAATATCTTTTCAACACAGACGTGGCGATAAATCAACCGACAGTGAAGACCCGAAAGGGACGTCTGGTATCGTTATTTACTGTTAGTACTACTACTAGTACGTATTAATAGTACTAACGTTAACGTTAATATTGTACCAGTACTACGTACGTAGTAGTAGTATGTACTTGAGTCAGTGGGTTTGGGGATACTAGACGGATAGAGGACAACCTCCCTATTAGGGAGATTTCGCAATTCAACCTGTCCGTAAGAAAAATGACACGGACACGACCACGTACTCGGATAAAATTTAGATGATTTCGTTGTATAAATAGATTTCCGTGTCCGGAATAAACATGAGGAATCTGCTACTTTGCAATAATGCTGTCGTCAAGCGTTCTTGCTTCGCGAGGCCTGCCCGTCATCGCAGACTTCTGCTCGCAAATTCCGCCTACCGTCGGTCAACACCATACAAATACACAGAATCCTTCTGGAACTTTTCGTGGTTGTCGAGGATCAGGTGGAACCTGTGCGATGTTTTCTTGCCGTCGACTTCGAGCTCCTGGCAAGAGAAGCCTTCATGACTCGATCTTGGAGGAATGGTCGCTCGTGGTTGGCCTTTATCCACAGCGCCAAGTCATCCTCGCTTCTCAACCTGCTCATACTGTAGCACACGAAACCACCGAATGGAACCCTCCTGTTCGGATAACCTCTATTTCTTATGAGTATCCGAATCCGTGATTTCGGATCAGTGAGCAGCCGAATGATCAGTGAATAGCCGAACCGCATTACCCAATAGAACTCCAGAAATGATATGATTGGATAAAATAATAGCCTTCAACAACAAACACCTTCAAACATTTATAGTGTGAAAGAGTACAAATTTATAGAGGGGTTGTTTCGAATCAAAATGCCGCGAAGAACGCGTACACGGCTGACGTTGTGGCTAAGGCCATAGCAGACGTAATCTCCAAGTAGCTAACAAACCCTGCTGCTGCAGACGCATGTGGCGAATGCTAAACGCATGGACACTGCAGCTAAGACGAGGTCGTCTTCGTCACATGGATTCTAGCAATGGAGCGCGACGGCCAACCTGTGACCTAGGCAAGGCGGCCGCAATGCCACCGCCTCATCGTCTAACCGATTGCTGCGCGCCAAAGGCTTGGCATAGTTCATCGAGCATCGAATATGTGATGTAAAACCTGTAAATATATATTATTGTACACATGTAATATATCTCTATAAATTTATAATTTCATACCTCAAAAGCAGAAAATACTATATACTTGAAACCAGTTTAAAATTCGACTAACCACTGATCGCCTGTTTGAGCGACAAACTTTGCCATTTTTATTGCCCTGATTAAAACTCTTTAAATGGATCTGTATTTGGATGATGGGATAAAGCTTAAACTAGGAATTCAGCAAGACCACTTTTACGTCCTGGCCATTTGAACCTCACGAGATATTTATGCTCGAATGAATGCAGGTCAAATTCGGCTGCTCACTGATCCGTCACGTTTGCTGCTCTTTTCACGGATTCCGCTATAAAGTTTCATGAGTTTCCGTGATTGTACTAATTACTGAGGGTAATTATTACTTCGTAGTACGGTGGATTACTTTGCGAAATCTCCCTAATATATAAATATAAAACGGAAATGTCACCAACTTGGCGGAAACCAGCTGCCACACTACTGTTGACTTTGACAACTGTAGTACACTCTGTCGAACTGTTTTCAAACTTTCAGCGTTTTCCTAAATCTTGTTCTTTATTTGCTTCTGATTGGTGGAATAGAAAGCTGGTGATCTCGTCGAATTAATTCCTGGTTCGGTCCCAAGATATGACCTGCCAAATGCGTTGGGTCGTATACGAAAAACTTAGAGCATCCCCACCGGTGCGACTGTAAACGCTATTATACAGTTCTATCCGGATTATTTACAGTTTTGGCAACCCCACGGGGCGACTGTAAAATACAGGAAACTGTAAAATTTTACTGCGAGACGGCAAATCGACCAGATTTACAGTCGCGACTGT